CTGGACCGCTGTGATTCAGCTTAGCGTATTTGTACTGCTGCACTCTGGCCGATTAACCGCCTTTATCGCCGTTTGAAACTGAAAAAAGAGTCATACACTACTACATATTGCTGCAAAACTGCACTTGCACTTTTGTTTAAATAATGAACAAACATATTCGTATTTGCTACAACGTGTGTCGTGATTCTCTCATCAATGATATGCAATTTATCTATAGAATTGGACACGGGACAGAGAAAATTTATAGAGACTTTTTTCGTGAAATTTATTGGTACGGTTCAAGATACGATAACGGAGAACTTTTGTACTTTTGAAAACGAGTTTATACTTGCGTGCTTGCTATTAATGCTTCTGATCAATTTCAAAATCTATAGTACTCACAACGATGTATACTTTTTGAACTTAGGACTTCCTTTTTTTCCGTGCCGTGTATTTATTAATAAAGTAATTTATGACCCGAGATAAAAATAGCTTGCGAAGAACAGTAACCTCGTATGCCATAGTGCTTTACAAGCCGGTATAGGTGCGCTTTCTTATTTTCAAATTTTATCTTACTTTGTAAATGCCAACGAAGCAATTAAAATTACTTGATCTGTCGTTTCGAAGAACGAAAGTGCTTCGCACGTATTAATTGGAAAATGAGAGTATATGCGCACATAGAAGCGGTGCTATAGGTAACGCAGACGAAGAAGCTTTTTCGTTGCGTCGCCTTCTTCTTTCCAACTTCGATATATATCGTTGCGTTACACTTGAACTGGTTGCTTTCATTCTAGCGCCGCATCTTGCGAATGCATTCCTTAAGTTATTATACGTGCTCGATAGACTTATCAGAACTGGTACGTACATAGCCATGATCATTTTGCATAGACATTTCGATAGAGATTTATAGTTTTCATGATTTTCAAGCTAGATGTTGACAGATTTTTTGCAGTTGTTATCATACTGGACCTGGGTAATTGCATACTTTTGACTTGACTAAAACGAAACTATGAGCTATACTGTATGACCATGTTATAGATCCACCATTTGCAATAATGGTAGAATAATGACATATACAGGCCCTTACATTTAGGATACATCTTTTCCAATAAACCCTATGACGATGGATTTCACGAGATATAAAATGTACAAAGAAAGAATCTCCAATATCACTATTCTATACATTGACCATCCATAAATCACAAGGCCTAATATAACTGTTGACAATACTATTGTTGATATTGGTAATAAAGAAATGTTCTTATGAAGAAATGACGGTAAAAAAGAAATTTTACGAAAAAAAGCTTCGATTTGATAACGAAATCATGAATAATAAAAAATCGTAATAAATGTTTGAATCGTCTGGGGCTATTGCAGCATCGATAGATGTATTGTAATAATCAGGGTTAAAAATTTGTTAATTTGTCTATTACAAAATTACATAATTATATTTTAATTTTTAATTATTCATATAATTAATAATTACATTTCGATTTTAGTTGTAGAACGCAATTATACTCACGTATGAATAACATAAAAAATTCGCATACAAATTGGATGATGAAAGAAATAAAATGAATTCCACCTACATACACATATAAACATTAGACTGTCCGTTATTTCCCGAATTGCTCCAATCCTCGCTCTCACCCCTTGAAAGTTCATCATTTGGCTCACAATGAAAGAAAATCACTGTCCGACCGCGATTAATTAACTCTAGATAGTGCCACACGCGTCAGCTTTTTTCCCATTTAAATAACATGGGAAAATTTAAAAAAAATGTAAATTGAAGTTTTAAACCACTTAAAATCGCTAAACCTTGGGTTTAGCGATGGTTTTCACTTCCTGGTACACCCATAATGAGTAACCAATACTTACGGGAACCCTCCGAAAAGAATTTTGGATTTCGCACACACGATATACTCAAAAAATGAAGAAAAACAGCATGTTGGCGTGGTTTTTCGATATTTTAAAGCAAAACTAAGCATGAACGATCATTTTAAATATATTCACGTCAAAGTTGAGATCAAGACCTTTAATTTGAGGGTAATAAAACCTATTTACGTTCATTAGAACCAAAGTTACAGGCGTTTGAAGTTTCATTGAAAAATCAGGTATCGATTCTCGTCCGGCCGCCCAAACGCGCGACTCGCGGCTCGCTGTAATCGCAACTCGTACAAATGACCATGTAATTAAACTAGAAAAATAATCAAAAATATGATTTTTATGCGTTTTTTTCTCAGCTATCACGTGGTGTAGTCGGATTTTTCGATAATTTTCATTTTCGTACGAAAAAATGGACTTGAACATTTATTTCCTATTTTTCCTAGTGAACGAGTAAATTATCGAAAAATCCGACTACACCACGTGAAAGCTGAGAAAAAAACGCATAAAAATCATATTTTTGATTATTTTTCTAGTTTAATTACATGGTCATTTGTACGAGTTGCGATTACAGCGAGCCGCGAGTCGCGCGTTTGGGCGGCCGGACGAGAATCGATACCTGATTTTTCAATGAAACTTCAAACGCCTGTAACTTTGGTTCTAATGAACGTAAATGAGTTTTATTACCCTCAAATTAAAGGTCTTGATCTCAACTTTGACGTGAATATATTTAAAATGATCGTTCATGCTTAGTTTTGCTGTAAAACATCGAAAAACCACGCCAACATGCTGTTTTTCTTCATTTTTTGAGTATACCGTGTGTGCGAAATTCAAAATTCTTTTCGGAGGGTTCCCGTAAGTATTGGTTACTCATTATGGGTGTACCAGGAAGTGAAAACCGTCGCTAAACCCAAGGTTTAGCGATTTTAAGTGGTTTAAAACTTCAATTTACATTTTTTTTAAATTTTCCCATGTTATTTAAATGGGAAAAAAGCTGACGCGTGTGGCACTATCTAGAGTTAATTAATCGCGGTCGGACAGTGATTTTCTTTCATTGTGAGCCAAATGATGAACTTTCAAGGGGTGAGAGCGAGGATTGGAGCAATTCGGGAAATAACGGACAGTCTAATAAACATACATGGTTTAATCATTAAAAAATATTTTAAAATGGACGTATCATGTAGCACATCTTCCACAATGGGCTTGAAGAGCATATAGGTTTGCCAAAAATACCTCCAAATTCTGTTGTAAGTGTTCGAAAGAATGTAAGCCACTGAATATGAAACCGTTGGAACGAAAATCCTAGCTGCTACTCTAGTGAAATGTTCTCTTAAACTGCATCAAACCATTATTGCCGTCATTTAATATTGCTGTTTTTTGGGAGATCGTTCACTTGAAACATATTAAACTCACTTTAATCCATATTCACAGTTGTACAGTTCTAAAGTATCAAAAAAAAACCTTTAATTTGGTTACTTTAAAAACATTTCAAGTCATAGAACCGAAGATACAGCTATATGAAGATTCACGAATAATTTAAGTATTAAATGTGTGAACCGTTGAACTAGATTTAATACATGGATTTTTCATGAATCTTCATACAGCTGTATCACCGGTTCTGTGTGACTTATAATTTGTTGAAAGTGACCAAATTAATAGTACTTTACGATACTAGTGGCATAAGTAACACTTTTTGGCACGGCGTAGTTTAGGGCCGAAAAGTGTCCCCTATGTCACGAGTATCGTACAACATTTTATAGCACTGTGCTAAGTTCACATTTATGCCCCCTTTTCCGATGCATAAGTCGCACTTTCTGGTAACGCGAAGTGAGGTTAGCGCACGAGCGCAGCGAGTACGATGTGAACACAGCGGTGCCAGAATGTGCGACTTATGCCTCCGAAAAGTGTGCCATAAATGTGAACTTATGCCACGCAGTGTTATAAAAGCCATTAATGAACACTCTGACAGATTAAAATAGAACGATTTTTCTTTCATACACGAACTTTGACCTCGATTTTTAGCCACAAGTTGTCTATGTAGTCAATCGGTTTAAGATCGGTTGTTGAAAAGCTATGCAAATCGAGGTCACTAATCGATTTTCCTGTTGTTGTTTTTTCAAGCTCATTCATAGAATTGAAATATCAGTCGCAACAGTTTCGATTTATTTGTATCTACATTGTATATTTGCTGTGTATTACGTTTCAACAAAAATTTATATCAAAAAGTGATCTGATCTAATCGAATTGTCGGTTAATACGCCTGTTGCTTCTCCTCCTTCCGATTCCCCTTGTTCTTTTAATCTATCGTGTGCCGGGAGAAATTCGTATTTTATTATTACACTATATACATCGAATAGTCCTTTAAGAATCAAATTTTCATCAATGCTTTTATTCAGACTTTATCATGTTTTTGTTTTAATTTATTAATTTTTTCGAAGTAGGCAAGCAAGTTTATTTTGGGCTTTACAATTTTTTTTTATTTTTAATGGGATTTCAGCCTCTAAATTCGGTTGAGTACAAATTTTTAATTTTCATGAAATCTCACACAAAAAAATCAAGATTCAAATATTTTATCATACTCGACTCAAAAAGCAGAATAAAATTTTAAAAATCAAAATTCAACTTTTTAAGTTTTTTAGATCCATGAGCGATGGACAGACTGAAGTTTCGATTTAAAAATGGCTATATAAATCGAAATAGTTGTAACTTTTTTTATTTCATAGTAAAATATCATCACACTACACTTGACTGACCAAAAAAAAAAGATCTTATCGAATTTTAAATATCACAGTTGTATTGATTTTTTAATTCTGCTCCCTCTCATAAAGTTATGTAACCCGTTGAATGAAAGAGTGATTTCGAGCATTCGAAGTTTCACTCTGTGCATATAGAGCGTGCGAGTTACTTTACGTAATCAGCTGTACCTTTTTTTCTTTATGAATTTCGTGTCTAAAATGATTCTACTACTTCAATTTATATGTTTATTTTTAAATTTCAGCTGGAAACACCTGTTTGTCCCTGTAAGAGTACTGAATATGTTTTGAAATAGAGTTCTTTTTCAGTTGTAATATGCATAAATATGTTTTTTTAAGTGGATTATAGTGGCTCGTAAAATTTGATATCCGTTTTCGTTACAGGCTGTGAAGCTCGAGTCTGTCCACCCAGGTAGGACACGATATCTGGTTGTGGTATCTTGCACAGGCCGACAAGATGCCGAGGAAAGTTGCTTGCTCGGTATCGACTGCAATGATCGTGCAACCGTCGGTCTTGTTCTGCGAGTCCTCGCCGATACTGCCATTACGCTAGATGGAGATGGGTAAGTTCCTTCTTTATTTATTTTTTTCAGTTTCTTTTTCATCAATCTTCTTGATACTTATACTTCCAAGTACACGTGTGAGAACTAGTTTCGTAGGAAATCGTTGCCCGAGTTGTGATAATTTGTTCCATGAAGTTGAATAAATTGCTTGTATCTTGTACTCCACATGGTCTCTGCATCAATTGATTGCTTGATAAATTATACCAATATCATATTGTATTACTAGAAATATTCAAATATTAGAACTATGTGTATTACTCAAAGTCAACGTCATGGGAAAACTTTGCGTATAAAAATTTCCTAGTTATAAATTAGTCAAATAACACCATATTATAATTTCCTCTAACATTTTTTAATTAGTTTGAATACGTCTCTCTTTGTTATTGCTAATGTTTTTGACTTACGTCACTGTCTTAACGTCCCATCGTAAAATAGGGAAGAATCACCTATTGCGGCGCGCGTGCTATTGTGGCGCACGTCTATTTAGCATACTTAGAAATATTTGTTTGAACTGAAATTCAACAACAATATTCTATGCAAAACACTTAAATAATTTATGCAAAAAAATTGTTAAAAAACAAAATTAACAATAAACTACAATTAATGTAATTAATGATATTGTCAAATAGTAGTGCTGCGAGTATCAAAACTTAATTATACGAAGAGTTTACTGCTCGGAAGTGGCTAATACTATGATGGATAAGAAGTATTTTTGATCTACTTTAACATGATGCTTCATTCTTAACGATTCATTAATTATTAATTGAGTAACTTACAAATTAAGAATTTATTGTTTTTTTCCTAATATGGCGCGTTCTCGCGGCCGATTATGGCGCTCGAGTAGTACATCTATTGAGGTCTATATTATCCGCGCCACAATAAGCGCAATAAGCAATGTGTGATCTACATAACCTAAATCATTAGCTTGTGTATTCGAATAATTTGAGTAAAATATGATGCGCAACAATTGCTAAACACATGTGTTTTTGCATTTCATACTAATATTATACTGCTCTATAATCGGACGAGATATGCGCCACAAAAGATAATAAAAGATTAATTTAAATATTACTGAATATTATTCAGTTATAAACAGAAAGAATATAGACTAAAACGATGTTTGTAGGAAACAGAGAAAGAGAGGTTGTGTTTAAGTGCGCATGAGTTCAAAGCGCTAAGTCGTAATAATAATAAGAGAACAGCCCATAAGTGCGGAAAGAGTTTTAAGACAAAGGGTCACGAGTGTGTCCGCGTATCTCGTAAGAGGATGAAGAAGAAGAGGAGGTAGAAAATGAACGAATGTAGTTTGCATGGCTGACATGTCGATGACCTGTTATTGATTGTTCGATCTGCGTTGATGCTTTGTTCTATAAGGGCCTTACTGCAAATATGCATTTTATTCTGCTAGGTGTGTTATTTGTTGTATATTCAAAGGAACATCGAATTCGAAATTTCTGCTTTGCATCAAATGAATTATTTATTAAACCAATCCATCATTTACTTCCGTATTATATCTTATAATGCTTGGAATTCTCAAAATGAAATTGCAATCAATGAATGCAAAAACTAGATTGTAAATATGAATTATTTTACACGGTAAAAATTACAAAAACAAAGTACACCGGATAATTTGAAAAAATGTTTTAAATATTAATTGTTTAGGTTTATACAGGTCATATCATCGCGAAATTTTAAATGTATGATTTGAAGAATACCAAAAAAATTTCTTTTTGAACAATAACAAACGACTTTTTTTCTCCTAAAAGAGATCACTTTTAGGACCTACTTTTTTTTAATTTTTAATATTACATGTATTAGGGTTGCCATGATAATTATCAAAAATAGTATACTATTATTATGCATTAAAGTAATTTATTACGTCATGTAGGATGAAATATTATTTTTTAAGAAAAATTGATAAATACTTTTTTAAAAATTTGTATCTTTGAGGTTTCGAAAACATTACCTGAAAATAAAGAAAATTTTGAATTCATTGACTTGTATAAATTGTGATTTTATTATAAACTGTATATGACTTGACAATTCGATTTTAAATCTATACAATTCCTTTGTTGATGCAACTTAAGTTATTGAAATACACGGAAAATATATGGTAGTACACGCTAAAAAACTCTTAGTTTGTACAACAAACCAGTTTTTGTAGTGCCAACTAAAATGTTTAGTTTCCGTAACAAAAAACTGATTCTGATGATTGTACAATTAAATTCACTCGATAGAATCTCACTCTCTTAGTCTTAAGGTGATGCCTTGGCCACAATTTTTACCGACCGAGCACAGAAAATGTATATTTTCGTAACTTTTTTTCCAGGCTGATTTTCGAAAAACGACTCTGTGGGGCCCTCCGTATAGTTGCTGTGAACAACTGCGTCAAATTTTAGCCGATTTCATCAGGTAATTTTCCCGGAAAAAAAGATCAAAATTTTTGACTACTGTTTTCAGTATAAAAAATTTTGATCCTGTTTTCCGGAAAAACAATCCGATGAAATTGGCTGAAATTTTGCGCAGTTGTTCACAGCAACTTTACGGAGGGCTACACAGTGCTATTTTTTTGAAAATCAGCCTAGATAAAAAATTATTTAAATTTACATTTTTAATGCTTGGCCGGTCAAAATCGGGTCTTAGGCATCACCTTAATTGAAAAATAATTTGAATATTATATTTTCCAATATTTTTTCCGTGAATCATTTTACAATGCAACAATTTAATTTTTATTCCTGAAAAGTTTCGAATGTAAGAAATTTGATGAGCGCTATGTGCTTTTGCAAAAAACTGTTGTATAGCAAGAGCCAATTTTTCACTTAGATTAAGAAAGTAATAGTAAGACAGTACTTAAAATTGTATACTTTACCTCAAATGCTTAAAAATCGTACTTAATGATTTTCGTATTAGGATACACGTACATTTCATTTATTTTTTATGTTACAGAGGCTTCAGCGTGAGTGTTTGTGGAGCACAGCATATCTTTAAGCCAGTTTCTGTCCAGGCTATGTGGTAAGCCATTTGTATACATTTTATTCTGTCAGAATATATTTTAATATGTGCAATACGTATTAATGATTGCTTTCGATGTTTGTACCAAATAATGTGGTTTTGATATAAAATGATCGTCTCTGACGCTACTTTAGACTTACGTTAATACTTTATGATAAGTATCCCTTGTAAAAACGTTCCCTATGGCACGAGTATCATGCCCAATTTTATAGCATTGCGCTGACAAGGAGACCACTTGAGATGCAGGTCACTAATTGTCCTGCAATTTTTTGTTCTGGGATTACTTTCACACAATGATGAAGCTTCATATGGGTTATTTAATTCAATGAGCCCTGTAATTCATTAAAAAAAATTACTGTAATTTTAATTGAAGTTAAATTGAAATAAAACGATTTTGTGAAATTTTTTAATCGTAGTCAGCATGATTCAACCAATACTAGAGTTATTTAAAAAGAACAGAATTTAACCAAAAATTTTTTCATTCCTAAAAATTTAAATATTGAATAATTTTAGTGTTTTACTATTATCATATAAAGGTTATATTTTATGTTTCAGGTAAGAACACAACATTAAATCTTTAAATGTATCTTCATAAGTTTGTAAGTAATTCTGATGAAATCTTAATATTTAAAATAACTTAGATGATATAGATTATAGATATAAATAGTAAGGGTGAACGAGTACTCGAATTTTCTAAACCTAATTCGAAAACCGGATACTCGCACACCCCCAATTGAATAGTTTTGCGTGACTTAATTTAATGTTAATGACATGCTTTTCTGCGCACACACTGCGCGACATATTAACTGCGCTCGTACCCGTACTTTGCTGTACCAGAAAGAATCACTTGAATCTTGAAAAGAGGATTGATCTTAGCATATTTCTACCGTAGCTTTTATTTACTTGAGATTAAATTAAATTATTGTTAATTGTTGTTTAGAGGGTCAAAATACGTAGACAAACACTTCGTTTTTTGTGGGACCTTCCAATGCATACGAAACCCCCTCAGAGCCTAAACTATTACTTTTGTTTACTAAAGACGATTTATTTGACGAAGACTTCGGTAGCTCGAATGTCAAGAACATTCGCCAGCTACAGGCGAGATATTGCCGGTTTTAGCCCAATTCAAAGTCAAATTTTTCATTCGATGTACAATTAATTAAAAAATGTTATTAGAGGAGAAGAATCATATTTCAATATTTTAGCTCTGTCAGACAAATTTTATTGTGATAATTACAAAAGAGATGGAAGTCATCCAGTAATCAAATTAGCGGAAAAATGAACTTGCACTAAGTAACACCTATGTGGGTACCAAAGATTAAAGTGTTAGGTTCGAGAAGAAACAAATCTAATGTAAAACGAGGTACCGCGTTCACTACCGATAATAATTTAATTTTATTCGATTATTCGAAGTATACATTCGGCACAGGTAATAAAAACTTGTAATAGATGTATTTTACTGCTACAAAGTTATAGCCCAAAAAGCTAATAATAGAGGATAAGTAGAGATTTTTAGGTTAGAATACAATGAAAATCATGATTAAACGCAAGCATAAAAAATTCACCTAGTATAAATCTTTACTATACTTATAATATTAATATATTATTTTAAGACAGCAATAAGAGTAAATGTCATTTATTCATTATTTATAAATGATATATATATGGTTGATTCTCCCGAAATCTGCTTTTTCGGGTATGGAAAACGAAAAAATGATGAAAATTTTTTTGTCATATTGAACGGCGCGAACTAGTTTACCCTTTTTTAAACCATAAAATATGAATAATTATTGAATCTGGGGCTTTGAGATTTCGTTTTACGAAAACTATGTCCGATTTTATGCTTAAAATCGACTATTTTCGGTTACGGAGGTGACACACACGGAGGTGACAAATCGCTGCTTTGATCAACTATGTAAGAAAAATAAGAAACGCACAAAATTTTCCGCACAACCCGAAATTTGGTCATGAAAAACGAGTCTTTTGACGGGGCGAGCGGTTAAAAAGAATGATCATAGCTCGAGATATTCATGTCCACGGAGGTGACCGTTTTTTTGACACACGTGAATTTTTCAATAGAATAATTATCGCAGCATCGATAAAATGTAAAATTTGAACCCGCAACCTACACCAATCGAAAGCTGGGCTATAATACTTGACATTTACGTATCTAGCGACATCAAAAATGAGTTAGCGACCCAAAGCAGGCGGTATGTTTGAAATTATTCAGAAGCATGATTAAAATCCGAGACATTTTTCAATTGCGTGGGAAATTTTTTTAAAACATTTTTCAAAGCCCTATAATAGACTTAAACTTTACTCTGGATGTATAGAAGCTGGTCTCATAGTTATTATAGGGTCAGGTGCTAATGAGAATGCATGGTACATGCAAATAGAGTTGATTTTGAGATGTAGACATGCCACGGAGGTGACATTTGGCATGTATATCTTCACGGCAAATTTAACTGACCCTAAAAAATTGAAATATTTATGTCCTATCATGAAGAATACAACAATATTGAATGAATGACCGAGCCAGTTTTGGCTCATCTTCACTAGTTTAAGAATATGGCATAAAGACATGCAAAAAGCAGATTTCAGGAGAATCAACCATATGATGACCTGGTGCAACAGCAGGGGGTACGCCGCTTCCACTTCTACCAGAACTCCACCTTGGACCCGCTTCACTCTCTGTTCTTTGTTATTAGTAAACGACGAAAAACAATTCATAAAACCCCCAAGTAAATGTTCACTTAACTGATAAAAATTATCTTATTATATTGCGCACAGATATATCAAGTTTTATTTGTGTACTTTATTACTTAAATATTACTCGGGAGTTGAGAACTTTTGACCGTCTGTGATAAAAAATAGCATACGTGGCTGTAATGTCCCACTCTTCAGGCAGTAACTGGCGCGCGGATGTAATAATACACTTTCCAGCTGTGGTACGTACTATACTATTATGCGATTACAATAATGATTAAATGTTTCAATTCGAAAACCTGTTTTGAGGCATTTTTGAATTATTCTTACCATTACATTAGATAATGTATTAAAATGTTTTTCCAAAGCTCAAATATTGGTAGTGTATCATATTTGCCTGAATTTGAAATTGATTTGAATTCAAACCTACTATGTAAGGGTTTATATTATAATTTTATATAAGGTATACTACTATAAAATAAGGGATTTAACGCAGTGTGTATAGTGCGTGAAAAATTCGGTGATAAGTGTGATATACTGAAGAAAAAAATTCCAATCAATAAATTTGCGACTTGCCATCTTTCGTCAAAACCATCAAAAGTATTTATATTAAGTTGTACATTTAAAATTCGAATTCATTGATTTTATGTGCATATTGTTTCTTAACATGGATTTTGATTTTTTCAGCTATCAGTACATTTGATTTTAAAAATTTGGATCATATGGAATGCACACATCATATATTTATAACCAGATATAATTATGTTTAATTATCTTTCTGAACCGAACTTTTCGTATAAAAGCTTTTAGCCATAAACTATTAAACTTTGAACAAATAATTTCAATTTAATCTAGTAAAAACTACATGCATTATAGTTTACACTAATCAATATTTATATTCCAACAGATGTACAATTTCATTGGATTCATGTGGATTCTGATTTCTATAGTCAACATTGAAGCTAATATTATTCAAACTCACCTGTCATCCACAAATTTGAGTTCTCATGGGTTAAATACTTCAATTTTTACAAACAGAAGCAACATTTTGGAAAATGAAGCTTTGAGCCTCAAACATATAAAAAAAAAACGGCAATTAAATTTTGACAATACATTTTCTTCAACTGAATCAGCATTGGTTACAACGAAAAATGTAGCAGAGAGAGAAAATGAATCTTCCAAACTTCAGTACTCAACTATTATTCCAACATTTGCTGCAAGTGCACCAGTTGAAGAGAGAGTACAATTAGATAGCTTGAATAGTGCTACTCATCACAATGCCCACGGCCATCATCATGGTCATCACCATGGACATAAACATGGGCATCACCATAAACACAAACATGATCACGGACATCACTCAAAACATGAACATCATCACGGACATAAACATAAACATGGCCATAAACATCATGAAAAACATGAACATAAGCACGGTCATCATCATCATCAAGAACACAAGCATGATCACGAACATAAACATGGTCATCATCATCATCACAAAGAGGATCATCACCATCATCGAGAACATAAGCATGGTCACCATCACCACCATGGACATAAAGAACATCATGATCATAAACATGATCATAAGCATGAAGAAAAACACCATCATAAACATGATCATAAGGCTGAACACCATCACAAGCATGGGCACCATCATCACTCAGAACATAAACACCATGAAGAGCATAAACACGAAGGTGAGCATCATCATCATCATAAACATGTGCATAAAAATGAGCATCATCACCATCATGAACATCATCATCATAATGATCATCATCATCATCATAAACACAAAGAAACAGAAACGCATCATCATCACCATGGACATGAGCACAAAAATGAGCATAAGCATGGCCATAAACATCATCAACATCATCATCATGGACATGATCATCATCATAAACATAAACACGGGCATCATCATAAACATCATCAAGAACATCATCATAAACATGGACACGAACACAAACATGGACATCACCATGAACATAAGCATGGACATCATCAGGAACATAAACATGGACACCATCATGAACATAAACACGGTCATCACCATGAACATAAACATGGTCATCATCATGAGAATAAACATGGTCATCATCACGGCCATCATCATAAACACGGACATGAACATAAAGAAGAACACAAGCATGGTCATCATCACGGCCATCATCACGGTCATCATCATCACCATCATCAAGAGCACAAGCACGATCATCATGAAGACCATAAACACAAACATCATCATCATAGAGACCATAAACATCATCATGAAAACAAGCATC